AAATCTGATTTATAATAAAGTCCCGCTTTGTTTCTGTTGACCAGTTTCTGATTGAGTCGGTTTGTTTCCTCATTTCTAGCTGAACCAGAACAGCAGGATGAGGCTTTATTAGGGCAGCATCTTTCAGCAACAGGAAGTTCAAAATGTCAGCAAGATAAAAACAGAAAGTATGAAAACTGAAAGCAACAAGTATCACATTTTTAAACCCATCATCTGAAACCATCTTTAAATGTTGGAATTAATCAAAGTTATTATTATAAAGTTAAATCTAAAGGTCTGATAATCTGGGGTCTGGTCATAAAACCACCAGATTATTAATCTCAGTAAATTAGAATATAGCGAGTAATTTAACTAATGAGTCTCTTTAAAAGCATCATTTGAAAATGTCAAATATTAAATATACTTTCCCTTAACGTCACATGTCTGTTTCTAAAAGGTTTTTGTTCATCTGATATTTTGTGTAAAATCATCATAACTAACAAACAAAAGTATTTCATCTCTATAATGTTTCACTGACTGGATCTGGACTTTTTAACAAACTGATTCTATTGAGTGAACCTGAACAGTGAAGTGGTTGGAAAACAACGTCAGAGTGAGACCTCTGTGTTTCTCCTATCTCTGGAGACTCTTCTGTTTCCTCTCATCTGATCTGCAGATCAACCTGCAGCTGCAGCTTAAAGGAGACAAAAGCATTTCATGTTTCCTCCTCACTTCAAATGTTTCATATTTACACTGAAAAAAGAGAATTTAAAAATAGTTCATCTTTTTCAACAAATCTGATTCAATTCCTCAAAATTAATTTACGATGAAAACTTCATAAACTTCATATATTATTTGGATAAACTTCATTTGATCACTTACAACAAATTAACTATTTTTTAATCAGCTGTTTTCTTTTTTCAGTGCATATTCCTGATTAACTGAATGCAACTTTTTGAAGTTTTATTCAAAAAGTTATATTTTGAGTAAAAATGTAAATATTTGACTTGTATTGACTTCAAAAACTGATATAACTGATATAGATTTATTGGATTTACTGTTAGATTGTGACGTTTATAACATCAAAACTCCACAAAAATGCAAAATGTATTTAAACACTAAGATGAAAAGAACAAAGCAACACAAAGAGTTTTAATCAGTCAAGAAGGAGAATATGGAAGTTTATCAAATAATCTGTTGAGGATTTTATTCATAAAATAAATTATTTGTAGCTGCTGCAGCGTAAATGTGGAAGTCGTGATTATATTCACAATTTAAAAATTCTAATATCCCATTAGAAAGAAATGATTTCAATTATTAATGGATGCTTTGAAAACCGCAGCAGGAGTTCAGAGCTTCAGATCCGGAGACAAAATGAGGCAGCAGAACCGTCAGATCCAGTTCTGCTGCTGCTGCTGCAGCTGCAGCTGCAGCTGCGGCACATTTTAGCTGCGGCAGCTTCGATTGATGCTCACTGTAAAGATTTATGTGACGATAACGATAATGTTAAGATTCCCGATTTAACACAAAAACGTACATTTATCATATTTGTAAGATGTGGAGATAATTTTGAAGTGCAGGTGAGAGAAGCAGCTGCAGGCCCGTCCCTCTCTGTCCCTCACTGTCCCTTGCTGTCCCTCACCGTCCCTCTCTGTCCCTCACCGTCCCTCTCTGTCCCTCACTGTCCCTTGCTGTCCCTCACCGTCCCTCTCTGTCCCTCACCGTCCCTCGCCGCCCCTCACCGTCCCTCTCTGTCCCTCACCGTCCCTCTCTGTCCCTCACCGTCCCTCTCTGTCCCTCTCTGTCCCTCACTGTCCCTCACCGTCCCTCTCTGTCCCTCACCGTCCCTTGCTGTCCCTCACCGTCCCTCTCTGTCCTCACCGTCCCTCTCTGTCCCTCACCGTCCCTTGCTGTCCCTCACCGTCCCTCTCTGTCCCTCACTGTCCCTCACCGTCCCTCTCTGTCCCTCACTGTCCCTCACCGTCCCTCTCTGTCCCTCACCGTCCCTCGCCGTCCCTCTCTGTCCCTCGCCGTCCCTCACCGTCCCTCACCGTCCCTCTCTGTCCCTCACCGTCCCTCACCGTCCCTCACCGTCCCTCACCGTCCCTCTCTGTCCCTCACCGTCCCTCTCTGTCCCTCACCGTCCCTCTCTGTCCCTCACCGTCCCTCTCTGCTTCTCTCAACTATCTTCATCCTTTCATAACCTTCTCCCTCCTCCTCGCTGCTCGGCTCTGACTTCCTCCCACTCACTGCAGAGAAGAACCAAAAACCAAGATCAAAATTAAACATTTAACAAGAGTCATTTTTCAGATACGGACAAATTTTCTTCAAACAAGGAAAAATGAATCTCCTGGAATCAGAACCAGGACGTAACCATGGCGACGGCAAGCTGGACCAAAGCTAACAGCTTTAGCCGTTTCACCGCTAACCGTTTTAGAAAACCAGAGAGCATCTTTGCTATGAATTCATTCAACAAAACAGTTAAATATTCACTAAAAATAAAACTTTGTCATGTTTAGATGAAGACGTTTGTTTGGTTGATGTTCGTTTCATCAGCTGCTGACCTGCTGACCTGCTGACCTGCAGAGGTCACAGAACCACTTTGACTCTGCTGCAGATTAAATGGACAGAATGGAGGCGGATCTGATTTCATGACTGGATGAATCACAGCCCTTTTATAGACGATTCACAACTTTTAGGCTCCCAATTGAAGCTTATTTCAGATTCTTAAAGTTAAATCCTGCAGGTTCTTCACACGCAGAGGCTGGACGTGGAAACGCGACGGTCACGTGATTTTCTGCCTCCTATTTCTGTCCTCGGAGTTTTAATGTCATTGTTAGTTTCTGCAATGAGAAACTCGGCTGCTCTCTGTCCTCCCCCTCACATATTCATATCAGCAGAACTTCAGAATGTATAATTAGTTTGGAGCGATTAGTGGGAAGATGGGATGTGATGCTGTGATTTCACACAGTAAGAACATAAAGTGTTTATGTATTATAATATGTGGGCCGTGTGCAGGAGATTCTCCCTTCAGCAAATATATTTATGGACACATTTATCCTTCATATCGATGAGGCGATTAACACAAGCAGAGCCCAGATCCACTGGAGGATAAATGAAGCAAAACTTTTAAAAACTCCAGGTTGTGTGTGATTGATTTGTCCTCCAGCTGGTTGTCAGACTCACCCTGCACTGACTGCAGAGGCCCGATCGGCCATGTTGGTCCGTTCCTACCCTCTGAACCGGGGCCTGCGTGAGGCTGCAAGCCGCAAGGCCGCAAGGCTGCAAGGCTGCAGGGCTGCAAGGCCGCAAGGCCGCAAGGCCGCAAGGCCGCAAGGCTGCAGGGCCGCAAGGCTGCAAGGCTGCAAGGCCGCAAGGCCGCAAGGCTGCAAGGCCGCAAGGCCGCAAGGCTGCAAGGCTGCAGGGCTGCAAGGCCGCAAGGCCGCAAGGCTGCAAGGCCACAAGGCTGCAAGGCTGCAAGGCTGCAAGGCTGCAGGGCTGCAAGGCTGCAAGGCCACAAGGCTGCAAGGCTGCAAGGCTGCAGGGCTGCAAGGCTGCAAGGCCGCAAGGCTGCAAGGCCGCAAGGCTGCAAGGCCGCAAGGCCACAAGGCTGCAAGGCTGCAAGGCTGCAAGGCTGCAGGGCTGCAAGGCTGCAAGGCCGCAAGGCCGCAAGGCCGCAAGGCTGCAAGGCTGCAGGGCTGCAAGGCTGCAAGGCCGCAAGGCTGCAAGGCTGCAGGGCTGCAAGGCTGCAAGGCCGCAAGGCTGCAAGGCTGCAAGGCTGCAAGGCTGCAGGGCCGCAAGGCTGCAAGGCTGCAGGGCTGCAAGGCTGCAAGGCTGCAAGGCTGCAGGGCTGCAAGGCCGCAAGGCTGCAAGGCCGCAAGGCCACAAGGCTGCAAGGCTGCAAGGCTGCAAGGCTGCAGGGCTGCAAGGCTGCAAGGCCGCAAGGCCGCAAGGCCGCAAGGCTGCAAGGCTGCAAGGCTGCAAGGCTGCAAGGCTGCAAGGCTACAAGGCTGCGGGGCTGCGGGGCTCCAACACAAAACATGCAGTGGACCGGAAGAACCTGCTGGGCCAGAATGTTTCTGACCCATTTAATGTCCAAACCGTTATTTTTTTTAAAAAGAATAAAAAATTCTTGGTGGTTTAAAATGTTTTTACTCATCTACTCTGAAAAGTGTGGCATGTATTTACCATCACCGTTTTTGACTCCAATCCTACATTATGGCAGCGTGTCAGAGCCAATGAAGACGGAGAACAAAGAAGAAACATTCTGACACGAAACTCAGAAATTTCCTAGAAAAACTTGGAAACTTCTAATTTTGAAAAGTCAAAAACCTGAAACTCTGAAATGTTTGTTCTTCACCATCCATCCATCCATCCATCCATCCATCCATCCATCCATCCATCCATCCATCCATCCATCCATCCATCTATCCATCCATCCATCCATCCATCCATCCATCATCCATCCATCCATCCATCCATCCATCCATCCATCCGATCTCAACAACAAAACTCTCATCTCATCCAGCAGCCATTGTACAGCGCGTACAGCAGTAAAACCAGCTGATCAAATGTGCTGGAGCTCTGTTTTGGTTGCTAGGTAACAGGATTGTGACTCAACAACAGAAAACTTATTGTCAAAAACCAACAGTGTTTTTTTTTTAGTCCTTGTTTTAGAAAGGAGATGAAAACCCAAATGGAAGTAAAACATCAAAGTGAATTTTGCATATTAATTCCCTTTAAAAACTAAAACAGATGAACTGCTGCTGCAGGTTGTTGAGCTGTGCTGCCCTCTGGTGGAGAACACGGGCAGCGCTGCTGAAATGACCCAACATGTCTTAACTTATCATTTCTGATAAAGATCTGCTGTGGGACACCCGCTGCCATTTTTAATCCATGTTTCACTGTTTATCTATAAATTATAGACATCAATCAGAGGAGATTACAGTGTTTTTATGATGTTTTATTTCCATAAATGATTGACATACATGACAGTTTAAAGAAATAAACTAAGTTTCAGATTAAGATCTAGTCAACAAACTCACTATTTAGCTTCTAACCAGATGTTTAGTTAGCCAGCTTGCTAACTAGTTTGGAGCTAAAAGATATGATGCAAATTAATTTTTAGGGAAGAAGAAATTTGGTTTATCAGTGAATATTCAGTTTAGAGCTACATCCTGATATTGTGACAAATATAGATGAATGAATAACATGGTGAAAATATGACTTTTGAACATGAATCTCATGACAGGATAAATAACTGAAGTTCATTTTTCACTGTAACTTTACAATCACAGTCTCTATTCACCATCCAGAGACTCCACCATACAATCAGAAAAGAGCAAAACAGCAAACAAAAACATGGATGAGAGGAGAATCCATTTCAGATGAAGGTTAAAGGTCATCCTCATCCCTCCTGGTGGAAGGTCTTTCCATCTGGTCTCTCCTTCCAGCTCAGTCTGACGTTTCCTTCTGCGCCGCCGTCCTTCAGCCTCTGCAAAAACTGGCACACAAACAACTGAGAGTCCTGGTCCAGTGTGTGTGTGTGTGTGTGTGTGTGTGTGTGGTGTGTGTGTGTGTGTTGTACCTTCGTCAGCAGGTCTTCCAGCAGGGCGGCGTCGTTCAGGTCCACAGATGAAGACTTCGCCACCTTCAGCTTCACCAGCAGCTTGGAAACTGGACCCAGAACGTTTTGCTCTTTGTCTGATGATGAGCAGAGAAACTGAGTTCTGATAGTTTAGTTGAGGAAAGGAGAAGGAGGAGCCGCCTGTCAGCCGTCGAACCGCCACATCATTTATCTACCCGTGATTGTTGTGAAGGTTGTAAATGTGCCTCATAAATAAACTGATATTTTTTGTGTTTTACTAACTTTATACTCTGTATTTAAAAATAGTGCAACCTCTCTGCCTGTCCACACAAATGAATCTCCACGTTTAAATCCTAACAGGAAGTTGTGAAGGATGGTGATTAGGCCCAATGCTGCCCCCTATGGGTTCGGCATGTTTAAAGCAACCAACAGTGGTGCAATTCAGTGGCTTCATGGATGACATTTTTTCTTAAACCAATTAGGGATGAATGAGGTTACTTTATGGAAATCAATATTTCATTGCTTTAAAAAGACCCGGCCATGTTTGGACTAGGCCGTGTTTGGACTTGGCCGTGTTTGGACTAGGTCAGAATGAGTCCGAACTCACCTCCATAACAAAAGAACGGGAAGTTCCAGTCACAAGGACAGTCCTCCCACTTTCCAGAGTCATCAAAGTTTGCTATGGTGCATTTCTCTTCCTCGCTGTTCGGTTCGCCTGAACTCCAGTGAGAAGGCGGGGCTGGTTCCGTCCACCCAGGTCAAGGAGTTTCTGTTCAGCCCGATCCAGGCGTACTGACCCGGCGGCATCATCTCCCTTATCTTCTCGTTCTCTGACAGGTCTCTGGCGACGGCCATGTCTGTGATGGTTCCTGCAGTTGGCCAGAGCGTCGGCCCAGGGGAAGAACTGCTCCACCAGGACAAACGTCACATCCGGTCCTGAAACGGGAACCCAGAGAAAAATGAATCCGAAGAGAGAGTTCGGCGGACATGTTGGATCGGCACCGTTCACGTCGGCGCACACAGACTTCTCGTAGCTTCCACAGGACCAGTCGTTCCAGAACCCGTCGTCATAGATCCTCACGCAGTCTTCAGGGCTCTGCCTGTTGTCCGGTTGTCCAAGCTGCCAGTTTCTGAAGTCGGAGTCTCGGGGTTCTGAAACACGTTTGGGTCGGACAGCGACCAGCTCCAGCTGTTGGGGTCGTCCGACAGTCCGATCCAGGCTCGCTGCAGAGAACCAGACCCTCAGGTTGAGAAACCTCCTGAGAAACAAACGTCTTTATGACAAAAAACTGCAAAACGTTTCGGAACCGAGACGGGACGGATTCGCCTGGTACTGACGGACTTTTACTTCAGTCATGAATCAATTCTGTCTTAGAGATGAAAGTAATGAATTCAAGAGTTTTACATGCAGCTAATAAATGTTTCCTCCAGTAATTTAAGCTTTATTATGTCGGATCCTAAACCAGGAAAAATGATGGAATTATAATGTTTCTAAAAGATTATTTAGTAAAGTCAAACAATCTATTTCTCAAAATTAAAAACTAAGTTATTTGGAAGTGAATCAAAGCGGATGGTGAAACTTGAGTTTTGAGGAGAAATTGTGTTTGTTTACATGCTTCACGACTCCGTTGACCATCTGCTTCAGGTCGATCATGTCCACCAGCGTCGTCACGTCACGCTGCTTAAGGTCACCAGGTCAACGAACTGCTCTCTGCAGAAACTCCGAGCCGCGTCCAGTTCTGCAACTCGTTGACGTAATGAAACTGACGCTCAGCGAGAGACGAGGCGGCAAAAAGCGCTGCAGCACCAAAACACTGGTGAGCTTCTGGGACGTTTCATTTTTATAGTTTTAAACATGAAAAAATAATAGAAATATCATTTATTGCCCCTCTGTGAGATTACTAAGCTGAACCCAGCATGCAGATTCACATACATGTAAAATATAAAACAAAAAGACACAGTAGAGGGGAACCTGAAGCAGAAAAAATCCTAAACAGTTAATAAAACAGTGCAGGACGATAAAAATATATTCAGTAAGTTTTATTTAAGATATGCGGTAATTTAACTCTGTGGTCTTGAGTTAAAAAAGCAAAATATCTTGACTTGTAAACGGAAAATCAGACAATTATGTTGTGCAACAACAAAAAGCTGCAATATTCTGTAGGATAAGAAACTAAAAAATGTTACATAAATGGACTTTAGATGTCTGTTAAACTTACCAGGAAGACAACAAATAAATGTCTTAATAAAAGAATAAAACTGCAATGTTTTGATGTCATGTTAACAATAAAAGGATTGTTTTGGAATAAAAGTTATTAATTTAGCAACAAGAGAGAGAAAACTTCCAGGTTTTGAAGATGATCTCATAAAACCTCCTATATTTATGGCTCAGTTACAAAATGATTTGATTCCCATGAGACCAGGAGAAAACGAGAGCATGAAGCCTGAACTTGCCTGAAGCGGCTGTGAGGTACTGCAGAACCTCCATCCCGGTTCCTTGGGTCAGAACAGCAGATCTGCAGCTGCTGGATTCACTTATCACCGCGGCGTCACGCGCATGCAAACGCAGACCAAACGTTTGCATCCGCAGCCTGATGCAGGCAGAGAAATCTGAACACAGATTCAAAGTGGCTTCATTTCCATGATTCTCAAATGACTGGTTTGCCTGAAGCTTTCGCCATAAATCAAAGTTCACCCAAAAACTGGAACCATTTCACCTCAACTGTCACCTGAACATTCAGTTTTACTCCTAAAAGCTCTGAGGTGTTTCATGATTGTTTGTCTAGTCAAATTATTTACTAGCTTGGTGGTTTATTCTTTGAAACCACAGAAACATTTTATTATAAAATCAGAGATTTTTAAATCGGAAAAATCATTTTAAATTATGGCTGGAATTTAACAAAGAGCCGCAGAAAAAGCAAAAGTGCATCAATATGATCTATAAATCTGCATCATTTGGATCAGTGAAGCAGAAAAAGACCCGTTTTCTGTTTGTGGTGTTTTATTGAAGCCTTCACAGATAGTTTCTACATCAAACTTCATATTTTAAATCACATCACAAATAAATGTCCTGTTTGTCTACATTAAAGAGGATTATCAGAAAACAGCAAACCATGTTAATAAGGAACAGACAATATTGTCATCAGACATGACTTCCTGTCTGACGCTCGTCACTCGTCCTGGTGGAAAATCCTCCCGTCTGATTGGTCGATCCATCTCACCTTTACCTCCCCTTCCACTCTGCTGTCCTCCTTCAGCTTCTCTTCAAACTGGCAAACAAAAAAAACATTTGATCAAAATCGTTTCCTGAAGTTCCTGAAAGCTGCTTCATATTTAGGCTGACTGGTGCAAACAGCACTTCTGGTTGTTGGACATTTTACACCGTCGAAACATTTAGGTCTGAGTTTGAAGCTCCGATGAGGCTAAAAGAGAATATCAGTGTGAATGAAGCAGCCTGCTGCAGCAGCCTGCTGCAGCAGCCTGCTGCAGACCGTACCTGCTGCAGCAGGTTCGCCAGCACCGCCGGGTCTCCCAGGTCCAGAGAGGAAGACGTCACCAGCTTCACCTTCACCACCTGCTGTGAACCTGGAACTTTAACACAACAACAGCTCACTGTCAGTTAAAAAAGGAAATAAATCATTTCTGAATCATTTTTGCGGATGCCACAGTCATTGATTTGGGTTCATTGGTTCTTCAGTCATGGAGCCTCAGGGACGACAACTCAGACCAAACAACGTTCATGTTGTAGCTTGGCTAAAATCAGACAGGAGGAAATGATGTCATTTCCATCCATCTGCGTCTGAACAAGAGACTCAAACTCAGAGCGAACAGTTCATCATGGAAATGAACTGTTCGCGGTTTTGACCTGCAGAATCATTTCCTGGCTTGTTCTGCTTCATTTCCTACAACAGAGTCTAAATCTTTCCATGTTTCTGGTGTTCAGTGAAAACATTGATGCTTTATTTAGTGTTTCTGCAGCATGAATGTTTCCACCTGGAGAAATCAAAGGAGACGCTCCAGATGTTTTAAAGAGATCTGGTTCATAAGCAGAAAGGCGTCTCTTCCAGCAGAAAGGATGGAGTGTGTTTTCTGCTCACCATCGTAGCAGAAGAAGGGCATCAGTGTGGAGCAGCCCAGGTCCTCCCACACGCCGCCGTCGCCCAGCGCCGCCGCCGCGCAGTTCTCCGCGCTGCCGTTAGGTTCTGTCGGCCTCCAGTGGCTGAACGTGACGTTGCTGCCGTCCGCCCACAACCAGGTGTTTCTGTACAGACCGATCCAGACCGCCTTTTCTCCGGAGGATTGGACTAGGCCCTTCATGTGCTGGAGCTCCGCTGAGCTCCTGACGCTGGCCATGTCGCTGTGATGCTGCCTGCAGAAGCTCTGGGCTGCAGACCAGCTCATCTTTGGTCCAGAAGGACAAACGAAGCATCGTGTCCTGGAAATGTCCAAGGTTAAAGCCTGCAGGCAAAAGCTTTGACCTTTGACACCTCAAAGAATCTCTTTGAAGATGGAAAAGTTCTGGATTCTTGTTTCTGTTTTTATTTCTATCTCATCAGTTGTTGTTTTAAATAAATGCAACAGAGTTTTAGTTGAGCAATATTACAGACATGCAGTTTATTTGAATTTATTTTGTTTAGTCATTAAATCGTCTCTCCAGACGTTTATATTCGGTTCACATAGCAACATGATTCCTGTTTTTTTCCTAGTTTAAAATTCAACACATTTTCCAGAAACTTTTAATCAGATTAAATGTTTCATGAGTGATTTTGTGACCATAAAGGATGTTGCAGCTGTTTTGCCAGCTGCTCATTATTGTTCTGCAGTTTGTTTCAGATCATTTAATTATTGTATTTAATTATTTAATTATTGTATTTAATTATTTAATTATTGTATTTAATTATTTAATTATTGTATTTTATTTCATGTATCGGAAGCAGAAGCTGCTGCGCCAGCATTCATGACATCTGCTGTCATCTCTTGGTTGCCATTCATGAAAACCAAGTACAAATGTTCAGCTGGATCCAATTGAGCTACATATAAATATAAACCTTCAGCTGTTCTGTCCTAAAGAACAGCTGAAGGCTCTTCTGTCCTGGATGCTTCATCCTCACCTTGTACATCACAGCAGATTGGTCTGAAGGTTGATGCACACTCCAAATCAGCAAACTCTCCAGAATACATCAGGACTCCGCAGCTTTCTTTCCCCTGGTAGTTGTCTGGTTCCTCAATTTTCCAGTTCCTGAACACGGCTTCTCTGTCTCTGTAGAAGTCGGGGTCAGTGATGGACCACGTCCAGCTGTCCAGGTCCTCAGACAAACCGATCCAGGCTCTCTGCAAAAACCCGTGAACTCATGAAGTTCTCATTTATGAAAACAGCTCTGCAGAAAATGCTGCTTTTGTTTTTATTGTCTTGTTGGACCAGTGCAGGTTTTAGAGCAGATGTAACAAACGTACCTGTTTGTCGTCTGCGCTGTGGTAGACATGGCGTCCAGATCCACCATTTGGGTCAGGAGCGTCACGTCCTCCATGCTGCTGACCGACACCAGGTCCAAGAAGTTCTGTCTGCAGAAACTCTGAGCGTCCGGCCAGCTCATCAACTCATTGACAAAACAAACACGCGAGGAGGACGAGCCGAGGCGGCGCACAGCACTGCAGCACAAACACAGCAACAGCTGAGACACGGATCTGCATCCTGGCATGGAGCAGGAAAAACTTTTCCCTGTTTCAGGCAGAAAAACTGACTAATGATGATGTTACATGGGAACGATCAGATTTATTGATATTATTTGTGCAGATTTAATGCATGAATATCAGATTTAAGCATTTTTGGGGGTTTTATGAGAAAAATAATCACATTTCTTCCCCACAACCCAAAATCCTTTTCTGTAGTTTCACAGGTTTAGTACTTTTACTCACTTATATTTACTCGAGTAACTTTTAGACAAACTGTAATTTTAGGAGAAGTTTTAAAACTTTTTTATTTGAATGATATTCTAATATCAAAGTGAGACTCTTGTTTGAACACAATCTTTGTAGTTTTGCTGTTAGTTTCTATTTATTTCAAGTCATAAAAATAAAGTAATAACTACATATAGTTACCAGAAGAATTTTATATTTACATATTGTAACAGTTTAATATATTTTATACTAAAAATACAAACAATAAAATGTTTTTCTGCTTTAAATTGTTTTGTAATATTTGTATTGTTTTTTTTTTACTTTATTGTTTTTAGGGAGTCTTCCCAAGGGATCAATAAAGTCAAGTCTAAGTCTGTTGGAAAATCTCATTTTTAAATATGAAAGCAGATTTTTGTGTTTTTCCAGACACTTTTTTGAGCATCGTTTCGGGAGCTGCGTCTTCGTCTGATCTGATCTGATCTTTATTCAGACGTTAAAATTCAAACCGTTTGCTTTGAATTTTCAGGATTATTTATCAGATATCAGCGACTGGTTCTCAGATTCTTCTGCCTCTGAACACAAATAACTGCACATAATGTTTTAAACAATTACATTTAGTACATGAGGTGCATTAAATGAATGAATCAGTATATCATCAGAACTGGTAATAATCTCAATAATTATTCCCAGGGTGCAACAGGAGCATAAAATCATGAGATAATCTGAGACACTCACAGGAAGCAGCTGTGATGAAGTGAAGCGTTTCCATCCTCCTGAGTTTTTTCCCCTCGGCTCCGTCAGGCTGCAGCTGCTTATAGTATTTATATCACGTTGTCACGCTCATGCAAAAAGAGGATGCAAACTCTTCCTATTCTGGGTTTTAATTCTTGATCCATTTAATATACTTCAAAGTATTCAACTACTTTTATTTACTATTATTTACAAGATGCTTCAGAGTCAAAAAGGATGAAAAACATCTTTAAACCTTTAGCACAAAATTTACCCAAAACCATTGGAGCCCATTTATTGTTGTGCAGACAGATGTTTTCATTTGAAGATATTTTAAACTCACTGGTTTGTGTTTGGTGCTTTAGCTTCTTAGCTTCTTAGCTTCTTAGCTTCTTAGCTAGCCATTCCCACCATAGATATTTATTATAAGTTGCACTTTTAGATGTTTTTAATAACTTATGTTTCATCTGCTGCCTGTTTAGCTCAGAAATATTCTCTACATGAAGCTTCAATCTCTAAAAGGAAGAAAAACAATGCTTGGTTTGCGTCGGCCATGTTTTATTCATCCATTCATCTATTCAGACGCTCAGACTCCTGCCTTCTATCTAACAGCACAAAAACAAATTATGATCATCACATCACAAATGTAAGCTCCAGGCCTCCAGGCCTCCAGGCCTCCAGGCCTCCAGGCCTCCCAGGCCTCCAGGCCTCCAGGCCTCCAGGCCTCCAGGCCTCCAGGCCACCAGGCCTCCAGGCCTCCAGGCCTCCAGCCACCAGGCCTCCAGGCTCCAGGCCTCCAGGCCTCCAGGCCTCCAGGCCTCCAGGCCACCAGGCCTCCAGGCCTCAGCTCAGCGTTGCTCCTGGTGGAAGATTTGTCCTCCTGATGTTTCCCTCCAGCTCAGCTGACGTTTTCTCTGCTGGCCTTCAGCTTCTGTTCAAACTGAGACGCAACAATCAAATAACCAGGAAAAACTTCAATCAGATTACTTGGATTACTGATTAATGATCTGGAAAGTCACTAAGTCACATTAAGAGAAACTTTTTAGTTACTTTCAGCAGCAACGCTCCACCAGCCGTGAAAATGGCTTTGATCTTTATTGATCTTTGCCAATAATTAATCGTCCCACAGAAACAAACTCAACAGGTAGAGGAAATAAAATTAAATTACAAAACAAAAACAGCAGCACAAAGCGATCTGGATCAGTAACTGACGACTGGATTTGGAAAAGATTACTGGTTTCTGAAAACGGGTCATCACTGCCCAGATCTGCTGCGTTTTCTTCACACATCATGCAACATGTAGTGACATTTTTTCTCAACCAGGTGGACGTTCTGCTTTCTCCTGGACACATTTGTTTCCAGGAATCACTGAATTGATGGAAAACACTCATTTTCTGCAGCTTTGCTGAAAAACTTGTACGGGGTTCTATTTGTGCCACCATGCAGCGAGTCTGACATCTATCTGTGTGAGGAAAACAGTCATTTCTAAATCTCATGTTTGCTCTATGTATGGGATGCTAATGAGATCAAAAAGGCACAAAATATCTAATCAAAATACAAACAGATTTTTGCACCATCAGGAAAGTAATGAGTCCCAAAACATAGTATTGTATTTGTTCAGAACTTTTCAGCTCTATGGAAATTATTTTTGAAAAAACCACAATGGAAACATTATTTTTGCGTCGCAGGAGTCACATGACGAACAACCAGAGGATACTACTGGAGGAAATACAAAGAGGATGAGGACAGGAAGTGGTAGGAGGATCGAGGAGAGGTTTGGTTTTTAATGATTTACTGCATCAAACAAACTTAAAGTGGTTTTCATTTCATTTCTTATTTTATGGAAACATTATAATTGCAAATTTGTGTTTTTTCCACATAATATTGAATTTGGACAAAGTTCTGAGATCATTTGTAACAGAAACGCAGCGAGTCGCAGACTGTCTGCTGTTTTTCTATGTTCCTTAAATAATTCCACTCAGACACTCCTCAGTATTTTCATGCTGTGGTTTTGCCTTTGCTGTTTGGTTATTCTTAATTTAATTAAATCTCGCTCTGGTGTCAGTTTTGAGTTTTTTCCTGGGTGGAGCGTTGCAGCAGATTTCCGTCCCGACCCAGAAGCCGTACCTGCTGCAGCAGGTCCGCCAGCACCACCGGGTCGCTCAGGTCCAGAGAGGAAGACGTCACCAGCTTCACCTTCACCACCTGCTGTGAACCTGGAACTTTAACAAACAAACTGGAGTCACGACTTCCTCTGCTCCACATGAAGAGGAAACCCTGTGGCGCTCCCTGTGCCGGAGCGCCACAGGGAGGACGACTCGGATCACTTTTCTTTGCATTATTTTTACTTCAGTTGTTTCTTTTCTTCAGTAAATCTCAGCTTCCTTCATAACCGGCTTGTTTATGGCAGCCCGGTTACCTGCAGGTCGGTTTCCACCTCTGGAAGGTGAATAAAACCCATAAATCGCCACGTTTGTGTTTCAACTGGAGGAATTTATGAAATGAGGCTTTAAGGTTCTGCTGAGCCGCTTCGGTCCTGACAGAAATATTCAGATATTTCACAGAAGAGGAAAGTTAATCTGTTTCCGATTCTGTGGCGACTATGTTTGCTTTAGATTGGTTTGAGGATTTGATGTCTGTGACTTTTAGAGAAGCAGACGGATCCACGGCGACCGTCCACACGGACCGTCCAGCCGGGGTCAGCAGGTCAGCTGACGGCTGGACCTTCTGGAATAAAGATTTGCTCTGAACCTTTTCAATATTTTAACTAAATCCTTTTGAAAGTAGTCAGCAGAAACACACAAAATCCTTTTGCTGAGGAAATCTTTGGAATCAAGCCTCACCTGCGTGGCAATAAAAAGGCATTTTCCAGGAGCAAGCAAGGTCCTCCAGCCAGCCGCCGTCTGCAGGAACGGCCGCCGCACAGTTCTCCTCGGACCCGTTTGGTTCCGACGCTTTCCAGTGGCGGAAGGAGGAGTTACTGCCATCCACCCACAGCCAGGAGTTTCTGTATAAACCGATCCAGGCCTGGACCTCTCCTGCTGATTGGACTAGGCCCTTTATCTGCTCGTTCTCTGGCGAGCTCCTCACGCTGGCCAGGTCTGTGTGACGCTCTCTGCAGTAGCTCTGGGCTGCAGGCCAGCTCATCGCCTGGTTGACGAAGGTCAGCGAAACATTGTGCTCTGAAATCATTCAGCAGATAGAATCAGTTTCCTCCCACAGCAGCTGCTGCTCGTCTTCAGAGCGACCAGCAATCAGCTGACCTGCGACCTGCCGACCCTGCACCGCCGCTGATCATATCACTCATCAATTTGGCATTTAAAAATAAATCTGCTTAATGCAAACATTACAGTTTCAAAAACACTTTTCAAGTCACATGAGTCACATAACCTGGTGATGCTTCTGCAGGAAACCCCGAAGAAGAAAAGCACAGGAAGTAACTGAAGGACCTGCATGTCTTTAATCACTTGTCTTGTAATTTTAATCCCATTTCTTACTTTATGGAAATGTTGCTAGACTGAAATTGTGGTTTTTTTTTTTTTTTTTTTTTACGTTGTCAGAATATCAATAAAGTTTCAGATGTTTGAAATGGAAACTCTGAGGCTTCACTCTTCTACAACCAGGCCCTCCATTCAGGGCTTACGCAGGTCAAGGGTCAAGAAAAGGGCAGCTGGCATTTCTGCAGACGCCACACATCCTGGACACAAACTGTTAGACTTTGACCACCAGGTCGGCGCCACAGAGACAGTTTCTTCTTCTCTTCTGTCCTTCTGACCAACACAATGATCAATAAGCCTGAATGATCAGCTGCTCTGCAAATATGCATATTTTCATGACCATAAACTGTCATTTTTCTTTTTCCTTATGTATAAAAAACAGAATGACCTTGGAGATCATCCAGGGAACAAATGTGTGGAGAAAACGGAGACGACAGAAGAATCTGGAAGCAAAAACTGAAACTAAATGGCTTGTAAAGCAAAACAAATAAAATACAAATTCTGGAAAAATCTAAGGTCCAGAGGAGAATCTAAAACAACACGAGGAACCAGAGAAACCAGAGGAACCAGAAGAACCAGAGAAACCAGAGGAACCAGAGAAACCAAAGAAACCAAAGAAACCAAAGAAACCGGAGGAACCAGAGAAACAAAGATTAATACGAGAAGCAACATTTTTCCTCTTGTTGTTTGAGGAACTGCTAGATTTCCTGTTGAATAATAAAATAACAAATCTGACCTTCATTTCGATACAAGCTCAGAGGAAAGGTCAAGGTTCATGTGTTGTTCAGCTCTGATCCGTTCTCACCTCGCACGTCGTGGCAGATTGCTTTGGCCAACATCTGGCAGGGATTGTCGTTCCACAAGCCGTTGTCCCACATCCCGACGCAGCTTTCTTTCCCCTGGTAGTTGTTTGGTTCCCCAATGTTCCAGTTCCTGAACGCGGCTTCTCCGTCTCTGTAGAAGTCGGGGTCAGTGATGGACCACGTCCAGCTGTCCAGGTCCTCAGACAAACCGATCCAGGCTCTCTGCAAAAACACGTCATATGAGTGAAAACTGCACAGCTTTAACATTTCACCAAAGAATCTGTGGAAACCTTGGAACTGCGGTCAGAATGAGCAGCTGTGCATTTTCAGACCTACATGTTTGAAACTTGCGTCCATGTAGAGCATGGCGTCCAGATCCACCATTTGGGTCAGGAGCGTCACGTCTCCATGCTGCTGACCGACGCCAGGTCCAAGAAGTTCTGTCTGCAGAAACTCTGAGCGTCCGGCCAGCTCATCAACTCATTGACAAAAACAAACACGCGAGGAGGACGAGCCGAGGCGGCGCACAGCACTGCAGCACAAACACAGCAACACAAACACAGCAGCACAAACACAGCAACATCATTTCATCTGCAGCTCATCATCAGCCCAGTTGGAACAGAGTAAACTTCATGATTTTCAAAAACTCCCACGTTTTATATCCACAGACATTGAATATAATGTCTGTGTTTTAAGTCTGAAGCATTAAAACATTTCTGCACTTTATGAACAAAGTGCAACATTTGCAAAACTCAACTTTGGTTCGAATGATTCAGGTGATGATGATATAAATCATCAGAGTGTCTGTCAGGTGGAAATGCTTCACAGTCAGACAAACATCATGCAGCAACATGATGCTGCAAACTGTAAAACTCAAACACAAAAGATCCAACAGAAAAACACTGGAAACCAAAAACCCAGAAAACAGCAGCAAAAAGCTGCAACTAAAAAGGTTTTCAGTGTTGAACGTTTTTCTTTTCATTTGCGTTTGTTCAGTTGATTGTAGGATTTTCTGTTGAAGTTTTTGGTACTTTGAATCATTCATAAGTTTATGGAGCCATTTTTACCTGTCAGCCACAGTTAGTGACGATTCCACTGAAACTGGTCCAATTCTGAGTACAACTGAAGCCATTCGGTCAAACCGGTTTTGGTGAAACCAATCCCATACTTTGTGCAAAATTTGCCTCTTCAGTCTAAAAGAACTATTTTAACTCAAATTTAGTATTTACCAGCAGCAGGAAATCATACAAACTATGTGAAAATGTAGCAAACTAAAAAAAGAAAAGAGTAATAAACCTGCCTTTGTTTAGTTCTGCCTGCTTTGGGCATTTCGTCCTGACGCGTCACACACTCACCAGATATTTTGTCTAACTGCATTATTTCAATGGCTGAAGTATTGAAAGTATCAATACTTGGATTAGAGAATTGATCTTAAAGCATGAAGGTATCGGAAGGCAGAAGCATCAATATTTCAGTACCAATCTGCACATAACTGCTCACAATAGTGTAAACAGCCATACTACAAATAAAACAATAGTCAATCTTTGAGTTTCTTTTGTGAAAGTCAAATTGAAACCAACACATCTGCATCCTCCTAACTATTATTGTATCATAAAATATGTAAATTGAGCATTTTCTATGTTAATCAGAGTTTGTCATAAGTTGCTTTTATCAGCAGAGCAATAAAACGTTATGAAAGTCTTTTTGTAACAGGTTTAGATATGGCCTGTTGACCCGACAGCGGTAAAAACAAAGCAGGCGAAGCCTTACATGATGCAGCGGTGAGGAAGTGAAGCGCGTCCATCATCTCTGCTGCTGACTGCAGACCTGCAGCTGCTTATTGTTGTACTTATGATTCTGTTGTCACGGACATGCAAACAGCCATACAAACTATTTGCATTTTTTGCTGAATACCTGAACCATTCATGAAACTTCATACTATTCAAACCAGAGTCATTTACATCCTATTTTACACTCATTCCCTCAAGACGCTGCAAAGTCACTGAAGACAAAAATGTTTTCATTTCAGGGGAAAATATTTCTCTGAACAAACCTGGTCAGATGTACAGATTCAACCCCTAAAGCTGAAACTGAAACATCAGAACCTTTTTAGTTTGGGTTTCTTTCAGCTCAAACTGCCTGTTTAAGGACATCAAACAGTTACTCTCCTGTCCTTTGACTACGCCACATTCAAATCATCTGAGCCCGAGATTCAATTAGTGCCAGATTGATTAATTTATTTAATCTATGAAGAGAAAACACCTCGATGGCGGAACCATTAATCCCAAAAGGATTCGTACTCCTGTAGATTCAGATCTCAGTATTTTCATTCAACCGATGAGACTGAGACCCTTCAGATGAAAATAATAACAATAATAATAATAAGCTCCAGTATCTTGGTTCAAAATTACTTGTAAGTGGCTTCTTTGGAGTTTTAAGATGATTTTGCAGCAGAAATGCTTCAGATCCAAACAGAATCCAGTTTTTTGGAGCTGAAAAGCTTCCAGCTTTTGGCTTTAAGTCAAAATCATCCAGATTATTGGCAGTTCAAAGGGTTTTATATGATTGTTTTTCTCACAATAAACTAAAAGTATTCACATCCTGGCATTATTGCACTCTTTAAAACATGACAATAAATAGTAAATTGCTTTGTTCATTACACAATTTGCACACATTGCACAAGAAGCCATTTTGGATCTGACTTTGCTAATTCAATAACTGTACAGAAATATGTCTGACATGCTGTGAATGTAATTCTTGGGCAACTTTTTACAGTAAATGTTTAAATATTGGAATCTTAAGAAGAAGGATTGTCTGGTCTGGAAATGATTTGTATGGAAACACCAGAAGCTGTTATACCAACATCTGCCACTAAAGGGCAGGAGAAATGCAATTCATCAATGCAATTGTTCTTTTGTTTTTGTTTTTTGTAAAAAAAAAAAGAGTAAACAAGAACAACAAAGAAACAACAACAAAGGGCTTCATAGAACATGTTTCTGCTTTTTCATGAGTTCAAAAAAAAAACAGCAGGGAGGAAACACATCAAGAGCTTTGTGTTGAAATAACTAAAACGTTTTTTTTGCATCATATCAAACAAACTGAAAACTCTGATTAAATGTGTTTTAGCAGGAAAACATGAGCAAAGATAGTAGATGGATTATCAAAGAGTGACGCCTCACTGATGTACAAATCTGTTTCATGAAGTGCAGTGTGAGTGGAGAGGCAGATGCAGAAAACTCAGGACGGAGTGAGATGAAAAGATGTGTTTAATGTCCAGGAACCAGGAAGCAAGAACCAGGAAGCAAGAACCAGGAAGCAGAGCAGAGCAGCAGGCTGAAGCTCAAAGCTGATAGCATCAGGTCAAAGAATGGACAGCAAGACAGACACGACACATAGGACCCTAACCCTGACAGAGACACAGAGACACAGAGACATGAAGACACGGAGACACAGAGACACGGAGACACAGAGACAAGGAGACACAAAGACACAAAGACACGGAGACACAGAGACACGGAGACACGGAGACACAGAGACACAAAGACATGGAGACACAGAGACACGGAGACACAGAGACAAGGAGACACAAAGACACAAAGACACGGAGACACAGAGACACAAAGACATGGAGACACAGAGACACGGAGACACAGAGACACAAAGACACGGAGACACGAAGACACGGAGACACAGAGACATGAAATACACAGGAGGTCATCATGGAACGAGACACGCCTGGGGTCAATCAAGGGGAGGATAGGACAACATGGAGACTCAAAATAAACTCAGAAAAACTCAAACCATGACAGTAACTGTAATTTATAAGATACAGCAAAAAGTTTAACCAAAAACAAGATGATTAAGATCAAGAGACAGTTTTCTCTCTGGCTTTTCTCTGATTCTGCTGCTCCGTCTCCAGGTGACCCACTGGATCTGCCAGCTTCTGCCAGAACCGCTGATTTGGTAAAAAGTCTATTACTGATCAAACAATCGTTTAATATTTTTAAATTACATCGTCAGACAGACTAAGGTGTAATTACCAGTAATTACTATAAGCAATTATGATAATTATTCAAAGCCATGAAGCATAAAGGCAAGAAATGAGTATTAAAATGAAACGGAGATTCATTTATTCCACAAACAGCTTTTATTGTAAAGCTTTCGATCTTTAATGAAACGACAGGAAAAACTGTTTATTTATGAGTTTATTTGACTTTATTTATCCGTGTCTTCCAGCAGCGACGCCATCGAGGCCTGACGTCCTGGAGGAAGTGACATCACCAGTGAGAAGGTCACAAGGTCACCTTCAAGTTAGGCTTTTTTAGCACAGATGAAGTAATTATTTCTGCTGCAGCCTTCATCGTTGATGTATTGTTGAGATCCTGGAAAGATCAGAAACAATCAATAATCAATTCTTCTCATTAGATTAACTGAAATTATGAAGTATTTTCTGCAGAAAGTCATTTTTAAATGTCTGTTCCTGCAGAAAGAGGCAGTTTGTGAACTTTCACCTTTCAGGTTGATCTCCATGCAGTTTTCTCTGCCACCTCCGTTCGGTTCCCCGCTGCCCCACCGCCAGTAGTTGAACGTTGACCCGTCGCTCCACATCCACACACTCTCCTGAAAGGAAGACGCTGTTTTCAGCTTCAGTCTGATGCAGAACCTCAGACCCAGCAGGTGCAGACGCACCATTGGAAACGTTTTAATCCAGTTTAAACAGAGTTTAAACTGGATTAAAGCTCCATATTTGGAAGCGTGGTTAAAACGTCAGAGCCAAACGTGAACAACGGACCCTGACGGCGTCATGGCCTCCGATCCAGGTTCTCTCCCAGGATCCTTTCTTGGTTCTGACCAGGTCCTTCAGGAAGATGTACTCATAGTAACTGTGGAAGGAGGCCAGGTTTGCACCGAGTGCTGTGCAGTAACGCTGGAAGGAACAGAAAGCACAAAACGCAACAGAAAGGCTCAAAAGAGACAAACTGCAGGACTAAAACATAAAACCCAGATGGAGGATTTGTTTCTGGTTCTGGTTGTGCTGGAGGATTCCTCCTGTTAAAGGTTTTTCCTCTCCACTGTTGCTACATGCATGATCTGTATTTGATTTGAATTAGTTCTACATAAATAAACTGAATTAAATAAATGCAATCAGATGGTAATTTCAGATTACAGATAAAATCCATAAACACTTTAGAAATTACAAACTGTGATTATCAGATAAAACAAAAAGTGAAATAATAAAGAAAAACTGACAGATTTAAAACATGCAGCATGGACAGCTTTTTAGTTAGTTTCTGCTGTTTCTCTACCTCGGCGTTCGCCCAGTCAGCTTGGTAATTACAAAAGTAGAAACAGCGACTTCCATACTGAGTCCAACCACCAGGGCAACCTGTGAAACACAGCAGAACCCAAACAAGATCCGGACTTAATCTGGAACGAGTCCAAAATGTAATAAATGTGTTATTAAACGGGACAGAAAGCAGCAGCTCAGAAACACCAAAACAGACACAATTCAGACAAACCTTTAAAGAGTTAGTTTTCTGTCAGGTTGAAATACTTACAGTCACCCTGTGAACAGAGAGAGGAAATGATTCATAAATACATGCAGCTGTTCAACAAACAACGAGCTCAAAACATCCAAAACAATGAAATATTAGCAAGAATGTCATTATACTGGTCAAAACTTTTATCTTATTTAAATTCATCGGAGTTAAAAATTTCAGACCTGTATTTTCTGTAGTTTTACGATTAAAAACCTAAAACTCAACATCTCAGCAAATTACAATGTATAAAATATTCTGTAAAATATTCTATATATCTGTATATATGGACATTATGGACAATATGGTCTGCATAACCACTGGCATAAGGAGAAGAAAGGTCATCGCTGAAGAAGCTTTACATCCAACCATGTTTGTTAAAAGTTGAGTGGAAGGAGAAAGTGCAGGGATAAGCACAGGTTTGAGGGGATTGTCAAGCAAAATTATGAGTTTTTGAGTTTTTCAGCCAAGAAATGTATGAGAAATAAAGGCTTGAATCACGAGGATCTTTCAGAGGCTGAAACTGTGAAGATGACAACATCATCAGACGATGACAGACTTACAGTCGTCCAGAACGCGAAGCTCAGACCGATGAGAAAGATGACATGAAGAACTGAAGCCATCTGCAGGGAGAATCACCGGAGAAATGAGGCTTTGTCACTTTACAGCCAAAAACTCTCAGTTATTAATATTAATGTGACAGAGGCGAGGCAAGTAAAGCTTCATCTGCAGCACAGAAACCTCAGGTTGGATGTTATTGATCACTGGAAACAAAACATGCAAAGACAGCAACTACATTTCCAAAAGTTCAGAGAAAATCATCATCGTATTATTATGATATCCAGAAAAACCTGGCTGACACGCGGCAGCTCAGCTCAGCGAGGAAGAGGAAGAGCTCAGCGAGGAAGAGGAAGAGCTCAACGTTACCGTTCTTTGGGTTGTGAGCAGTGAAGTCGTCTCAGCAGCAGGACCTGGAACCAGGATGATCAGGGATGGAAGTGCAGACTTTAAATACCCTCACTGGGTGTGTGACCATCATCTGTCATCACTGATAGGGCAAATAATTAATATTTCCACAGTCTACATTTCATGAACATGTACAAATACAAAAGTATCAGCTAACATGATGAAACTCCCACAGTCAACAAGCTGCTGTTGGTTAAAGTCTCATGTTGTAACTGTTTTACACGCAAAGTTACTGCAAAATGTTCTATGTTTAATTTTGACCTGCTGGCATTTTGTTCTGTATAAATATCAATAAATATGGAACAAAATAAGTTATAAATGAATCTGCTGTCAGATTATTATATTATCAACTTTCACTGTTTATTTCAAAGTTTAAGGTTTCATTTCATTTATAATGACAGATATGATTATGACATTTTTAGCCAAGAATGGTTGGAAATGTGTATTTTGGGTTAATTCTGCATTCAATAAATCCATTACTATCTGCTATTGTAGTGGCAGATTTTGTTCTTGATGTGCTTCAATTCTTCATAATCATCAATCTGTCTGGATTTGAGTTTCTGTTTATTTTGAGTTTCTGAGTTTGAGTTCTCCATGTTGTCCTGTCTCCCCGTCGATTGTTCCCAGCTGGGTCTTGTTCTGTAATTACCCTCTGTGTAATACTCCACAGTCTGTATTTATGGAAATGTTGTTAAAGACTGACAGGGCAGTCTGTGGTAACCATGGATGGATGGATGGATGGATGGATGGATGGATGGATGGATGGATGGATGATGGATGGATGGATGGATGGATGATGGATGGATGGATGGATGGATGGATGGATGGATGGATGGATGGATGGATGGATGATGGATGGATGGATGATGGATGATGGATGGATGGATGGATGGATGGATGGATGATGGATGATGAAGATCTGCAATCTTTTGCCCGGGGCGAGCTGGTCCTGACAGGAACCCGGGTGTGAGACAGACGGATCATCTGACACCAGATATCAGCTTTCATCCAGAGCCGTGTCCACAGCCAGTCCCAACTCATTCATAAAGCTCATTTAAAACACAAGTTTAGCCAAAGTGCTGTACAGTCAGAAGATCAGCAACAAACATTCATGAAATAGAGACTTTGCAAAGATCATGTCAGCTGACACAAATCAAAGATCATTTTGAAGACATAAATGTCAGGTTCTGTGTTTTTCTGTGTTTAATTCTGAGTTTCTGTGTCCTGAGTCTCCTCCTTGTCCTGTCTTCCCTTGATTGTTCCCAGGTGTGTCTCGTTCCTGATTACCCTCAGTGTATTTAGTCCCTCCTGTGTCCTTTGTTTCTCGTCGGGTCCTTCTGTCATGGAGTGGTGGTGGAGGTGAGTTGGTGAGGCAGCACGCTGGAGACCCAGGTAAGTGAATAGTGGATAATTTTAATGAAACAGTCCAGAAAAACAGTCCAAACAATAGTCCGCGGCCAGGCAGCACGGCTGAGCAGAAGCCAGGGCTCACAATGGTAGCAACTGGTCTTAAGGGCGGCACAAAACAAACTAACGACAAACAAGGACCCGACCAGGAACAAAGGACACAGGAGGGACTAAATACACTGAGGGTAATCAGGGGAACGAGACACACCTGGGAACAATCAAGGGGAAGACAGGACAAGGAGGAGACTCAGGACACAGAAACTCAGAATTAAACACAGAACCTGACATGATCGACTTTTACTGCTACTATCTAAAACCATTTATTTGTGCCAAGAATCTCTGAAGCCTGCAACAATCTGCTGCATAATCTTTCCATCTCTGCTCAGTTATTAATGGATTTCCTTCAATAATGATTGATTTTTGGTGGGTTTTTTCATGTTTAGCATTTTGAAAGAAGCAACAAAAGCAAAGTTTAACAGTTCTGCTACTACATTTTCTCTTTGCTTCGTCTCTAGTCCCTGTTTCTTCTCTGCATTTTAAAGTTTGATCAATGTGGTCAGGTTACATTCCAGTGACAGGAAATGTGAAGACGACCATCTTCCTGATCTGTAGGTGTTTATCAGACGTCTGTTACAAAGAATTTCCACAAAAAATAAAAATCAGAAACTGATGCTCTCACTTTACCACAGCAATAATGAACTTTCTGACAGGTGAAAATGGAGAAATACATTGCAAACACTTGAATGATTCAAACTCCAAAACCACAGAATGTGAAATTCCTCTGGGAATCTCTATAGACCTGTTGGAGAGTCGACTGACAAATCCTCATGACTTAAAGCGACGTCTGGTGGAAAGGTGGAGGAAGAAAAGGTACGTAATGATTCAAGTCTTTTCTAAACATGCAGCATTTTGAAACAGGAGCATGTTTATAAAGGTAATGCCTCCCTCTATAAATTCTTTTTTGTTATTTCTTTTTTCCCTTTTTCCTGTTCCTTGTTTTTTCTTTCTATTTCCTTTCTTTTACTTTCTTTTTTTTCTAACTCTTTCTCTGCCAACACTGATAATGTTCTGCACTAGTAAATAAAAAACCTATAAACATCATAACAATAACCTTAAACAATATTTGTGTCATTTTTACTGTCTGTTTATGAACCAAACCTTCATCCATAGCCCAGTCTAAACGGGGACAGCGCCCCCTGCTGGACGCAGTTAATCTGCACCATGTAAACCAGTTTCATTGATGCAATAAACGTTTTTTAATCTAACAGTAAAAAATCATATCAGCCCTCAATATTTCATGGTTTTAAATTTTAAATCGGCCATTTTTGTTTTCAACATGTGGAAAATCGGATTCTGTCACATTAGTGTTCCATATCATTAAACTAACTGTAATATTGCTCAACAATTATTAGAATTAACACAACATGCAGTTTCTAAATGATTTCATTCAGTAAGGAAACAAAAAACCTTTGTGTTTATTTATTGGTAGTTTGATTTCAACCATTAAATGTGGACCAATAATAATAATATCTCTTAAACTAACACATAAACACACTGTAATAACTTTAAGTCTTTATAAGAAACTCAGAGTTTAAGAAATAAAAGAAAAAAATTAACTCTTCATTTCCCTTTTGGCTCAACAGAGTATTTTTTTATTGAATTTGAAAAATGTCAGTTTTATAGCAGAGCTTTTGCAAAGGCATTCATGTTTTTATTTAATTCTCATTTCTAAATATTAATGTTTGTGACGGGTCGGATCGGGTCCCACAAGTTTGTTGACAGAGTGAAGGAGGAGAAGCAGTTCTGGATGAAATCTGATATTCAAACACCAGACGACCCGTTTTGAGTCAGACACACCCTGGAGATCGGCCTATCCAAAGTAAACAGGCTCTGATGAGTCAGCAGTTTGCTGGAATTAAAAATTATAATGAGGTCAGAGTCGATTAGTTTGACTCTTGAAAAGCTTCGATTCAAACAGCTTAAAGTCATTAAATGGTTAAACTGAGAGGCTCCAGTTATGTCTGATCCTGGTTGTTGGTTCAATTCCTTTATGCTTTTGTTGAGTTAGTAAATACTTTTATTCATCTACTTTCATTTCTTCACGTCTAAAATGTTCGGTCAGCAGATTGTTGAGCTGAACCAAAATATTATTAAAGGGAAATTATTTATGGGAAAATCTCTGGATATGCAAAAACACATTAAATTTAATAAACAATAATTAAAATATATTTTATCCCAAAGAGAAAAGAAACACACCCAACATGTGTTTGAGGTCTGCTGGGGTTCAGTGACTGAAGCTCAGCTTGCATTAGTTCTATTTTATCACAAAGAATGAAAGTATCTCTAAATATGAGAGTTTAACCCGGAAACATTCGGGAACATTTGGAAACATGATGACGGCTGCGCATGTGGATCCGATGGCTGTTTGCTGCTTTGCCTCTGTTGTTCTAAGGATCAAATGATGGAAGATCAACAGAAGACAGATCAGATGAAACAGGAAGCCCAACCCTGAAGGCAGCTTCCTGGACAGGAACCAAATCCAGTTGCAACAATTCTGCTCCCAATAACCAAGAAAATAATTCTGTTTGACTTTAAAGCTCTTCAATCCAAATGAAGTTTAATAAAGTCATTCATTCATATTTATGGATCTCAGAAATGAGAGGGAAAAGTTTCCAGAAGTTTATGAAGCGATTGATCATCTTACCTAAAAAAACACACATAAGCAGCAACATGCAGAACACAGCAGCAGAACTAAAACTTTAAACGTTTGAGCTGCCAGATTCTGCAGACTTCACACAATCACCTGGAACATGAGCAGCTTTATCTGAATAAACATGTCAGCATTCACAGTGCTCATAAAACTGAACACAGCAAACTTTACATTGGTCAAATTTCATGATCACAACCATCATCAAATATATTGATCAATGTCTCTTTACTAATAAAAGCAGCTCTACGCAGTTTTAGCCTCGATTTAAAGGATCTCAGTGTTTCAGCTGTTTGGAGGTTTTCTGGACGTTTGTTCCTGGTTCTGGTTCCGGTTCTGCAGAGCCGACTGGAGCCAGAAGACCTCAGAGTTCTGGAAGGTTGATCCAACAGCAGCAGATCTTTAATTCGTTCATTCACAGCAATTCACCAGAGTTCTGGTTTCATGTTGGGACGTATGAGAGCAGTGGCGGCGCGGTGGGTCCAGGAGGGTCCAGGAGGGTCCAGGAGGGTCCAGGAGGGTCCAGGAGGGTCCAGGAGGGTC